TCTTCGAGTCTTTCGAGAGACGTAGTCCCGATGATCGGTGCAATTACCCCTGTCAGTGAGATATCACATTAGAGTCAAGTGGGAAATGCGAAGTAGTACGTACCCTCTTTCGCCATGAGCCACGCGAGGGAGACCTAGGCCTGTGCCATCGTTTTGTTGCGCTTCTTTGCGATCTCTTCCACACTGCAAAAAAATTGACGTAAATATAATTTGGAACTTGAAGAGTAAAACATACCGCGCGACCACGTCCTTGTTACCCGCGCCTTGAGTGAAATAGGCATCCGGGGGAAAGACATCAGTTTCCTGACGGACGCTCTTCTCAGCCTGGGGCCCTGCGTAGGGCCGAGTGAGGGCACCGCGCGCCAGAGGCGACCAGGGGATTCACCCCACGCCGAAATGCTGCGAATACATAAGATTCGTGTGAGGAATTCGATTCGACAAACAACTCACCTTGAGCAAGGGCATCATCTCGTGTTCTTCCTCGCGGTAAACGAGGCTGTATTGGTTCTGCATCGAGATGAACGGGGTGAGGTTGTGCGAGATCGCGTAATCTGTGTGGCAAGTAATTAGATCCAGTAAAATGCCGGTTGAGACAATGGTTACTTTGCATGCGATGCCAGACTGCGGGGAGGTTTGTTGGTCAGATAACTCTCGGTGCAGAGGATAGAGCTCACACTGCCATGCGTAGCACGAAGAGATGCCGATGTAGCGCACAACCCGGCCTGCACGACGTCGTGCAGCGCTTGCATCTGATCTCGAGTCATTGAACGAATTCGAAAGCGCAGAACAACAGCAATATCTCACAGTTTCCGCAACTGGTGTATCTGCGTCGAATCGATGGCCTGGAATACATTCGATGAGCAGTGTTATACCTCGAAAATTTGAACACAAACATTGGAGAACGTCAATGTAGTCCAGCTGAAGCCGCGCCAAACTGGCTTTGACGGAGGCAAAGATGTGCTTGCGCGAGAGCCCGTGCTGGTTGACGTAGCCAAGATTGTCGGGGCCTGCGAGGTACAGCTCCATCGAATCGGTGCCCACTGTCTTGCCCACCGCACCAAGAACCTACATTCGAGACGTTAGCATGGAATATACAGCGAAGGTAACAAAAGTCATGCCTTGGTGAGAACCACGATTTCCTCGCGCGGGAGTTGAAGTTTCTTGATTGCGTTCCCGAGGATAATTTCGCTCAGGCCGTTGGAGTAAACCTTGGGTCCGGTTGATATAAGTAACACGCAGGCAGACATAACATACGTTGGCGGTATCGAACGTCTGTATTCCCGCGTCATAAGCTGTCAGGCAAAGCAAGTTAGGGGTATGAGGCTATGAGCATGATAATTGGACGAACACTCACGCGAACTTGATGTTCTTGATCGCCTCTTCCTCTTCGAGCACCCAGGGCGACCATTCTTTCGATCCGTACGACATCAGCCGAGGATGATTTGGGAGACCTTTAGGCCCGAGTTTCCGAGGCGAACTGCAGGGCGTAAAGACGAGTGCGGGGACGAAGAGCTTGGAGTTACCATATTTCACGCGACGAGTCGAGGTTTGGGTAAGGGTGGAGGACATGGTAGAATGTGGGCTGGATATCCTATCCAACTGCTGCAAGCATCGACCGTTTTATAGCAAAACGGTGACCGCCGGCATACACCGCCGGCATACACCGCCGGCATCTCCCGGCAACGGCATCCGGCGGTCCTTGGTTCAATGGTTGAATATACGTTGAATCTTGATCTCCGCCGGCACTGTCCGGATATATGGCCCATACACACTCGTTCGATGGGTTAGGAGACGACTACGTGGATTGTATACAGATCGCTTTGCTCACATTCAATTTCGGAAGCCCCAAGAGAAATACAACCGTGGGAACGGTCGAGCATCAAATGGAACCGTGGGAACATTTGTGACCAGGGTGTGGTTGGAAAAGGCGCCTCGAAGAATATACGACTCTGATTATTTTGATTGGGAGTGAGACACGAGACGACATACTGACAAATGCAGTGACCACAAACTCAGACTGTGCAGGTAGTGCCAGGTACCTGCTCGCCGCGCATGCTGTACATCCATCGAACTCGGTGTTCGATGGCCCGGGTTTGGCCTACATCAACTTGAGATCAGTTATGGGTCTCCAAAGCATCATCCCTACACCACATGCACGAAAAAAGTCCATATGCGAGACTGGTCAGTTGGAGGTCGACGACGAAGTTTGTGCAAAAAATACAACACCCGCGGCTGGTCGATATTGTGTACTTCCATCTATTCAATAGATGACAGTTTGAACGTGTACCAGGATGAGGACCGAAATCGTACGTGGGCTTCCGCCAAAGGCTGGGAAGTTGGAAAAGACTTTGTAGGGCTTTGCATGAGCCATGTGTGCATTATATCGTGTCCCGTACGCCAGCGGTGAAACAACCGGGAAGAGCCAAGGAGAAACTGTCGAGCTAGGTCTGGCCTTCCCCATCTCAAAGAGTATCGCAGCGGATGCGCTGGACTTCAAGACTAAGGAATATGTCGCGCCGCTGCACTTCGAAGCGTGACGGGATAAATTGGCATCGACGAGACAAAAAGGTACTGAGCGCTGGCATTGGGTGCGAAACAGAGTCTGTTGCATGTATTGCCGGCCGAGTCGGGTGTGGCACTTGTGGAAAGAAATTGAGATTTGATAAGAAAAACTTGGGGAAAAGCCCGTGAACTGTCAGTTCACGGGCAAATGGGAATACGGAAGGGAAAGTGAATCCCAATGGAATCGTGAGATGCGAGGGCGGCGTGTAGGAGAATCCTCGGAGTTCATTTGAAATAATTTCGACTTGAGGCACTGGCACCTGCGAGTATAAGCAGTTGATTGCTATGCAGCAAAGACCAAGGAAAGACCATAAGCGGGTCCGGCGGGAGGCAAAACTTAGGCAAAGGAAAGAGCGTTGTTTACTTCTGAAGCTGATGGCCATAAACACAAACACGGTCCCGTGCTTCAACTCCAACCACAACCACCACGACGATGCTCTCCTCGCGCCCTACAGACATCCGGCTACAGGCATACGCAAAGACTCCTGGCCGCGAGAACGCACAGGCCGACCGCCGTCTGATGATGACCGGTCATGGCAAGCAAAAACAGACACAGAATCCGCTGGGGCCGCAGTCTGTCCGTGCGTTGTTTTAGACTATACAGCGCATTTCAATCATCTCACGCCCTTGAATATAGAGCCAACACGTACCAAATCTCTCCTTGTCCCGGGTACAGAGAAAACCACGACCAAATCGCGCCCGCTCGGAGACAAGACGCCCTTCCCCAATCGCCCCGCCAACGCGTTCACCACCCCGCTCCCGGGCGACAGCAAGCTCGCGCGCCTCGTCCTAAACCCCGCGCAGACGCAGAATACATCGGGGACGACACCCGCGAGCGTCGCCCGCCCCAGTTCCGCGCGCACCCACGCACGCGCCCCGCGCATGAGCGGGAGCGCGTCCAAATCCACGTTGTTCGACAACATGAACCCGAGCCATGGGCAGCCGCTGGACACCCTGCAGTTCCAGACCCCCGCGACGAACGGCCGGCCCTGGGACGTCTCCCCCCTCGCGCCCTCGCCCATCGCGCTCCCCGCGCCGGCACCTGAGCCGGAAGACGACTTTGACGAGATCGAGTACATGCCGCCCAAGGTGGACTTTTTCGAGACGGAGTGGGTGCCGCCGTTTGATTTTGCGCTGCCGGATTACGCGGAGGTAGGGCGGACATTGCGGGCGGGGGCGTGTGCGTATCCGGTCGACGACGAGCCCGTGGGGACGGACGAATGGGAAGTGCAGGGAGAGTGTGGGTGGGAGATGCCGGTAGTGCAGTTGGCGACATTGGGTGAGTGGCTTTCGTTTCGTCTCTGTGGCATCCATGCCACCCTGTCCTCTTCAATCTCGCGCTTGCCTTCCGCACTTTTATCTATCCTACTTAACCTGCTCTTGAACGAAATTCGCTAACACCCACCCACCCAGAATCAGACGACCCCTTCCACGACCCCTTCCACGTCATCTCGCAAGCCCCTGCACCCGCGCCCTCGAAACGCCCCAAAACCAATCCCGCGCCCCTCGATCTACGCGCCAAACTGGCGCATCGCCCACAGGCACGGGCACCGGCAGCGCAGACCTGGGCGGGTGCGGGGCCGTCGAAAGCGCGTACGGCTACGACTGCGGGGCCTGCGAAAGCGCGCACGGGCGCTACGACTGCTACGACGACTACGACTACGACTACGACCGCCGCAGCGAAGGCGAAAACAGCAGCGAAAACGAAAACACCCGCACCGGCGACGTCTGCACGCGCGCGTGCTCGCGCATACACGACCTCGACTACGACTGCGCCGACTCGTGCTGCAGCTGGATCCGGATCCGGAGCCGCGCGTCCGCCCAACCCCAAACCCAACCCAAAAACCACGACGGGCACTGGCGGGACGCGTCCACCGGGCCCGATGAAGGGGCTGATGCCGACGTTGGAGGCGGTGAGGGCGAGGGCGAGGACCGCGGCTCGGGGCACGCGTTCAGCGGGAAGGACGGGAACGGGTTCCGGCTCTGGCTCGACTGCGACTGCGGTGGGGAGGTCATCAGCCACGACGGCGGGGTCGAGGCCTGCAGGTGTTGCGTCGAGGCCCCCCGTTTCGCGTGCTTCTGCTGCGTCGACACGTACCGCCGCGTCCAATTCCAGACGTCCTGTAGGTGCCGCGTCGCCGGATGACGTTGTGTCGGTCCCGGTCGCGATCGCTGCGGACGCGGAGGGGCGGGAGGAGGAGTTTTTGTTTGATGTCTGAGCGGGCGGTGTGATTTCTACATATCTAGTTTTGCGTGCGTGAATCTACGATTCGATTTGTTGTAATACCAGTACGGCCACGGCCACAATGATCATGACTTGATGAAGTATTGTATAGTTTCTTTCCAATGGCAAAAAGAATAAGGATGCCTGTAGCTTGGTGACTATGTAGCGCGTGTTGGTTTAGACGACCAGCAATGAAAAAGTCAATACAATCGCACGGCCTCGCCTTGAGTCGAACAAGAGACTCCCTCCAAACTTGAAGCCCAATGAACATGAAGAGAGGGCGTGTTACCGTTACACCACGGAGCCATGTCTATTCGAGGTTCATTGATGGATAAGTATAGATGCTTGATGACGGGTTTGAACGGAAATTCGACCAGTCAAGGCAAGGGAGTCGCGGTGTAGCTATGAACGTGAAGCAGATTGGGTTAGCCGCTGGCAGAGAACAGAACTTGGAATTTGGAAAGAGCCCAATTAAACAAACTGCGAGTACTACTAACGCGAAGGAGTTCTGAGAACTCATTCAGAGTTCAATTCCAAGCGGACACGACATTCGAGTGTTTCGCCATGAACCAAAGCCACTGATAATCTAGCACTGTGGGACGAGCAAACAAAAATCGAGCACGCATAGGCGAAAGATATTAAGCCCGTTGAGTCTTTGGACGTTTTTTGAGGGAGCCCATTCGCATGGCCTCGCGCACGGGCAGGAGAGAACAGTTGCAGATCCGAGACCATCGCAGAGATGTTGACGTAGCCCAGCAGCGGAATTTCTGAGTCTTTTAGTGCTACTGCTCAGAGTGGTCTCCAGAGTGGTGTAACAAAAAAGACAGAGTAGCCGAATTGTTACAATGAGGCTAGAAGGAATGGAATTCAGACGCGTTGGAATCCAAGGAATAAGTAGGGGTGGGATTTGAGGGAGACGTGTCTGAAAACTTCGTCACGTCGTGGTTTGGGGAGAGGTGCCATCGGCTCGATCGGTCCGCCCATGGCTGTGCAGTCTCCCTTTTGTCCCGAACCACCAAGGTCCAACGTACGGAACTCACAAGGAACTCAACCACAAAGGGCTGTATGCCTCGTCCCGCCGCCTTCCAATTTGCGCTTGCTTAGGACTCACCGGTTGCCGTCCTTACGCAGGTTCTTGATCCCAGTTCAACCTCACCCCGTTCATCTCGATGCAGAACCAATACAGCCTCGTTTACCGCGAGGAAGAACGCGAGATGATGCCCATGCTCAAGGTAAGTTATTTGTTGACTCGATTCTTTGACGGGATCTTATGTATTCCCAGCACTTCGGCGTGGGGTCCATCCCTTGGTCGCCCCTGGCGCGCGGTGCCCTCACTCGGCCCTACGCAGGGCCCCAGGCTGAGAAGACCGTCCGCCAGGAGACTGATGTCTTTCCCCCTGATGCGTATTTCAGTCAAGGCGCAGGTAACAAGGACGTAGTCGCGCGGTGTGTTCTTGAAGCTTACTCTTACCCGAGTGAAAGAAATTATACTTACATCATTATTTTGTAGCGTCGAAGAGATCGCGAAGAAGCACAACAAGACGATGGCCCAGGTCTCCCTCGCATGGCTCATGGCAAAAGACGGTACTTCGAAATACCATGACCATGGGATCCGCCTCTCACACGTTATCTCACAGGAGTGACCGCACCGATCATTGGGACCACGTCTCTCGAAAGGCTCGAAGACCTCATTGGTGTGTCGCTCCGCCTATATATATGTGCCCCTTCACCGATGCTTCTTTTTTCAGGTGCTCTTGAGGTTAAATTGCGCCGAGGATATGAAGTACCTGGAGGAACCGTATACGCCGATGAACACCATGTACTTTTGAATGCACGAACCTGCCGGTGTATTTCATATACAAAATGGCTATTGAATATTTTCCTTGAACGAATGGTTTATACCCTCGTTACCACAGCATGTGTCCTGCCAGCAGTGCTGCTGCCGCGCACCAAATCCCTAAAATGACGAAGAATGTGTTTGAATTACTGCCACACAAGGTCGGCCTTGTTTATGTGAATCCCAGGCCGGAGGTCACAACTCGCTCTGTTCGTCGTCGGAGGTGGTTGATCCCTAATTCGACACATCGAAATAGAAAAAGAGTAAAGGATACATGTAAGCAAAAAGGCCGACAACTGTAATTCCAGGGCCCCACTGAAACGAGCATTTGATTTGCATCGCATGCAACCCGAAGACACTGCCCATCGTTCACAGAAGATCATTATGTACATTTTTGAACATCCCCGAGATCGCCGAGCGCAGTTGAATCAGCGCAATTGGGGGCGGTACGTCTCCATACGAGTTAGTATTTCCACCTTGTCCGGGAGCATTTTAATTCGACAGGACTAATGGTCCCTGCAGGGATTTTGCCTTCACAATGAAACACTCGAGATATATGTCCAGTCTTTCACCGAACCGGCCCTTCTTGACCAGCTGACGTCTTTTCCCTCTCTCGGGACTGAAGCACCTTGGGTGCCGCTTTATTAATTCAACCGACAGCAGATTTAAACCCTCTTGAGCAAAGGAGAAAATACGCAGAAGGATGAATAAATCGGAGGGCCTCGGAACTTGTACTGAACAACCGAGGTACGAGCTTTGTTAAAGCGCCTGTCCATGACTCACTGATCAGACTCACTGATAGGAGAGACCACCGGAATGCGGTCATCAGTAAATATAAACCAGGTTATGACGAAGAACCGGTAATATCCACCTCTGATTGACATAATATAAAAGCACAAGACCAAGAAACTATTCGAAAACGTCGACTACTTGGCTAGTATGGAAAGACAGATGCTGATACTAAAATGCATGATAAGTACAAAGAGGAAAATGGATCGGCGAAAAGGTTGTTTGTCCAACATGGAGAGACGAAATAGAGTCTGGTTCTAAAATCCATACTCGACGGGAAGCATATTTGGCTGTGGATAACCCTCCGAATTTGGATTCAATCCCCGCCAAGGAAAGAATTCCGAACGCCTCGGTGGTAGATATTGCAGAGAGATATGGAAACCATCGTCCGAGAATTGCCGAAGATTGGGAAGGATGTCAACCTGCCTAGCCCGCGGGAACGAGGCTTCAACGCGCCTAAGCGGACTGCACGATCCTGCTGTCATTTTCGCCGTTATGAAGTCCAAGAGTGGCTCATCTGAAGCCAAGCTGCACTGCTGTAAGCGTAGCTCTCGCAAGGCGGGACAACAAGGAGATGTGAGATCGCGGGATGGTGCGAGAAGTTCCAAAATATAGATGAGAGGTGGTTCCACGGCCCAGCTATCCCTGATTTCAAGCCGTTGGATCGTGGGGAGACCGCGAAGGAGGTCTGCTAGGAACGCCTTCGAGAACGTGTCGGTGGAAATGTCGAGAACCTCCAACCGTGGCGCAAAAGTGAGCAAGGATGGACAGGACAAGATGCTCGGGGATCTTGGATCCGAATATCCACGCAGTGATATGCGCCGTAGGACCGGCAACGAAAGACGTTGTAATATTCGCTGAAGAACAGTAGAGGCGGGGACTGTATTACAAGACAGAGTCATCTCGTTCAAGGAGGGGCATTTGACGATCGAGCCCACGGCGCGATCATGCGAGTCCCATTCGATGGGGTCGTTAACGGTGAGCCGGCAAAACCTGAGGGCATGGCATTGGGAGAGAATCTGTATAGCGCTATCCGTTGTTAATGTGGGCAGGGGATCACTTAAAAGCAAATCATCCATCGACAACGACGTGAGCTGGCTCCAACGAACTAGCAGTCCAGTGGGTCGGATGTTTCCTACTGATAGCGAGAGCTTTGACAGTTGGAGACCACCAAGTATCCCGACTGAAGCCCAATTTTGGGAAGACCACACTGAAGGATGTTCCTTGATGGAGATTCCCTCCAAGATAGGCACGTCACTGGCAGTGAGGCTCGACAGGGCTTCAACAAGCACGGGGGCCTGGCCTGTAAATTTGATTTCTTGCCAACGAGAGGCGAGCGAGATGAGCACCCGGATATATGGGATCGCGCCGGATCGTGAAATTGGGTCGTCGTCGATGATGTCATCCAGGGAAATAGCCAGTGGACAATCCCCAGAACGTGAAAGCCAAGCCTTCATCGTTTCCAAATGTCGTGCGCACTTCAGCGCATACTGCAACTCGTGATGGTCGGGATTCGGAGGAGGGGACGGGGGCCGAACGATGTGAAGTCTGGCCCAAAGCCGTGGCGTGGATAGTGAAATGGCTCTCCATGAGCTGCATATGCGCCCGAGGAGAAGAGGTACTTCCGATACGTTCATAACACAGTTATGGTCGGTCGGGAGACAGGCGACGAATATCTCCTGAATCATGTCAAGCGGTAGCCGGCGGAAGGGCGAAATGAGGGCCTTGTGGGCTTCCACGAAAGCACCCAGGCCGTTGCGCTCATCCGCCAGCTTATCAATCGCCTGCTGCAGCTTGCCAATTTCATCGTCAAGCTGATTCAATCGAAGACTAGGTTCAACGAGGAGGGCTTTGATCTGTAGCACCTCATCGTCAGTGGGACAGAAATTGGTGCCCAGCTGAGGGATGAACGGAGAAGCCATGCGATCGAGACGAGAGTGTGGCTTGTTTACTTCCAAGCTTGAATGGCCACAAGCGCAAACACAACCCCAATCAACAAGTTTTGCTACATACAACCCAGGACACTTTTGACGACGCTTCTTGGACTGAACAGTCGGATTGCAGTGGCGCATTTCGTTCATGGAAATAGATCGCCCTGTCCATTTTTGAACATCGCCGAGCTCGCCGATCGTGGTTGAATTAGTTCGAACTTCATATCTATACTCTACTTCATACTATGGGAACTCGACGTCGACGCAAATGGCTCTTCGGACTGAATCGTTCTTTGGTTCGCGTAAGAGCTATACACTGAAGTAACATTCCGTGTCAATTATCTATTTTCCAAGCACTTTGGAATGAGCCAGTCACCGTTGCAGCTTTGAAGGCCGGAAGTTCAGCGCTTCGCAAGAGACTCTCGTCAGGTCATCGGCCCTCCGTTTGACGACTTTTCTCCTGAAGTCTCTTCCTGTCCATGTCTAGCGTCCAGTTGAAGTGTCGAATGCACTGGTGATTTTCTGTTCATTTAAATACTCAAATCTGTCAATGGATGTCTTGCCAAATCTCGAGTTCAACCGACATTAGTAATCTCCTAACGTGAACAAGTCTTCATGTCTCAGCCAGCGCACACATAGCCCAGTTCTCCGGCACATTGATAATCCTGTTGCTTTCATGGACAAGAGGGTTCGATCGGCAAACCTTCGTCCATATGTGTGTCGCAGTTCTGGTTCTTTCAACGGTCTTGGTTCAATCTATATTGATGCTGACACGCCTTTCAACATGCCTCGCTAGCTCAATCGGTAGAGCGTGAGACTCTTACAGTAGCGAGGCATCTCAAGGTTGCGGGTTCGACCCCCGCGTGGGGCTACCAGGATACCTTTTTGTGTCCCTAGAAGTTATGAGAAGCATACGGTACACCACCCTGAGATCCTTGGTCTTTATTTCACGAATCCGATGTTCTTTAAATACGAGACCTTGACATGAGATTTCGGTGAACTTGGCAATCTTCCGCTCCTCCTTGGCCGTGTTCCCTAATATTTTGGTGAATTTAGGATACGTTTACGAGGTAATTTTGCGATCCAAGACAGCCCGGATAGTTTGTGACGTGTGATGGTCACATTGATTCCAAATTTTTCATCGGGCAGCGTGACACCAATTAGCAACCGTGCAGACTGCAACATACAGATACATGTGTGCAAGCAGTTCAGAAGTGTTATCAAACGCAATTGCATTGAAGAGCAGGTACAAAAAGGTATACGACAAAAAACATAAAGTAAAGAAATTCCATCAGACAAACGCTCGACTCGCTGATCCTCCTCCAATCGACTCTTGCGAGCACAACCAGAGAGAAGACCAAACGTCCTCGAGACCCGCGTGAGCAGGCCATGTTCTCGGTTAAACGAGTGAGCGCGAAAGTCATCGAGTGGAATTGAAGGATGCGGCATTTGTAAAAATGCGAGACTCGGTCAGTTTCTATAAAAAGATCCTGATGAGTATGTATCTGAGGAATCCATTTTGTCGGCGCGAGCCTTATGTAGTTTTTGAAGGGTGGTCCGTGCGCGGAGGGTGCACGTGATGTCGATTTGTCGCTAAGACCGGAGGTTGGACGCGCAAGATCTTAGATATCCAGGACCGTCTGAGGAGAGAGAGAGGTGTGCGAGGGCGTTATATTGGATGTCCGAAACAGTGCTATGCAATTCGATTTATGTATACATGTAGCAGGAGGCAGAGAAGACAGCGGGAGTACTAGGGGAGAGTAGGAAAAGACGGGGGATGGATTGAAAACACTACAAATTATATCTTTCTTCGACGGTCCGTCCGACGATGGCATAACCAGCTCACTGCGACTGCTGCACCTCCTCCGGCTGGTCGAACCCATCGACGGCAACGTTCCACGTCCACCGGCCCTCGAGGAAGCCGTCTGCGGTGTCCTCCAGCACGATCTGGTTCCGCTTCTGCACGTACACCTGCAGGGGGCGTTAGCATGTCGAAGACGGCGAGGGTATAAGAAAGGAGAGCGTACGGTCTTGTCCGTGACCTTCTGTCGCAGCGTGGGGATGTTCTCGGGCTCTATCGGCGACTCTAGCAGTTCTGAGAGGTCCTCAACCGCGCGTTCGAGATCCCTGGAGTGCAAACAATGACATTAGTTTGTAAGGGAAAAATACGGCGGGCCGGACGAACCTCTGGTTGTCCTCGAACAAGTCCTTCTGGTTACCTTTGGCGAGGTAGTACGCCATGGCGTACGTCCACTTCAGGGTCATGCGGCACTTGTCGACTTCCTCCACGGCCTTCTTCATGAATTGCACCTGCAAGAGGAGTTAAGTATCCCGACCCAATCGTTAAGCAAGGGACGAGATGTACCTCAATCCATGTTAGCGCCGAAGTAATCTGCATCTCCTCCATCTTCTTCTCCGTCTTAGCGAAGAGATCCAGCGCGAGCTTGGCGCTCTGCTCGTGGTTCGCCCATCGGTTGTAGTACTGTGCGTCGTGAGCATAACGCAGCGATGATGGAGGCGGAGGCGTACATGGAGATACCGCTCGAGGCTCGCACGGCTCTTGCTCTGCGAGTCGCGCGCGTCGACACCGCCCTTTTCGTCGTAGCGATTGCACGAGTACCACGCCGTGCCGTGCTCCGACCACGGGCCCATGCACACCCAGCAGAACTCGTGCTTGCACTTCTTGCACGTCATGTGGCTGCGCACAGAGCGGGTCAGCACTAAGAACGAGACGAGAAAAAATAAGACAATAAACGCACTTGCACCCCCCGTTCTTCTCGATGGTGCTCATGCACTTGGCGCACTCCTTCGTGTTGCTCTTGATCCAGTTCGCCGTCTCGCTGTCGTCGCGGCACTTCTTCAGCCAGAGCAGCGCAACGCCGCATACGACGGGCCGGTGGTCGCTGTCGATGATGCACCCAAAGCAGAACTTGTGCTCCTTGCCAGACGCCTGCCGGACGAGCTCCTGGCTTTGCGACATCGGCGCTGCGGACGCCGGGCCCATCCCTCGCGCGCCGCAGGACACGATCGGGACGACGGTCGACAGCGACGACTTGGACGCCGCCGCGGGGCACGAGACGGTGTTCGTGCACGAAGGGTACGGGCAGAACTTCAAGTGCGACGTGCAGCTCACAAAGTGGCGCACGAGCAGCTCTTGGAAGCGCGTGTACGTCTCCTCGTCAACTGCGTCGCGAACGAAGGAGTCGGGCGCAACGAGTGCACAGCCCTCCGCCATACAGCGGCACGCGTGCTCCGCCTCGTCGCGGATCTTGGAGGTGATGTACGCGGACCAGCAGCCCGAGCAGGCTGCGTGGCCACAGTCGAGCGCGAGCGGCGTAAGGTCGGGCGCGTCGTCAAAGCAGATGGAGCACACAAATGTGTCTGACTTTGGGGGTGACTTTGGCTTGCGGGACGGCCGACGGCTTGGGCGCGGAGGCTCCGCCTCGGCGACAACTACACCGGCAGCAACCAACATCTTGTTGGCGTTATCCATGTACTTTTCGATCAAGCGCTCCTTGTTCCACGACATGTAGCGCAGTAAGAGCCCTGCAGTGCTCGCGTCGACGCCAAAAATACCACGGATATGCTCCACGTCCTGCTCCATAAGCTTCTCGATGGCCGTCTGCGAGAGGGACTGGTAATCGAGCTCGTAGGCTTTCCGAGTCGTTTTGGACGCGACTTTGAAGTCGTCTAGGTCCATGCCGTCATCACCGTCCGAGTCTAGTGGACTTGAGAGGGGAATCCAAAAGAGCGGTACGCAAGTGGCCCACCTTCGTCCTGCATGCCCATGTCCTCATCGTCGAAAACGTCGTCGACGTCCTCGTCAGAGTATTCGTAGTCGGATGACATGACGCGGTGTTATCTGCATCAGCCCGTGTCGGTTATACCCCCATAGAAATCGAAAGCTGGCTCACAGGTGCGGATAAAAGTAGGAGGGCTATTCGTGGCTGAACGGATCTCATATCAGTCTGGTACGTTCCTAAAACACGGTCTTAGTCGCTCACACGGATTTGTAATCACAAATCGCGGTCGATATTGGGCGCGGTTGTAAACGCGGCCAGGAACTACACGAGAAATCGCAGGTATAAGCCACTAGAACCAATCCACGGAGACTTGAAGTAGAACTCACCACAGTGGCGATCCCAGGAGAGGATATAATGCGACTGTATTGGAAGAACACGTCTCAATTAAGCCATACCACTATTGCGACCCTGTACTGACCTGTGGATGGTGAGCCTTATAGACTCAATGGGCGGCGTCGGTCCTGGAGGCGCGGTATAAGGAGCTGGACAGACGCGGGGTTTAATTGGAAGCAAGCACACGAGCGACGGAAATCTAATGGAATCCAACAGGTTAGATTGAGAGCCTGGTGTATTGCGGCCGTAAGACTTACTCCGCTGGTGTCGACGGTGGAGGTAAGAAGAAAGCGGGATTCGGGGTGAGAGGGACAAAGCCCGGCACGTGGAATGACAGCCTTCGGAGTCACTCGGCGTCACAGCCGTTACCGCCGCCTGGCCCCGGCGTCGGCCATGCAATAAAAGCAACAATTACACGAAGTAAAGGGGGGAGACAAAAAGGAGCGGTTGTTCAGTAGGGAAAAAATTGGTTCAAGGGAATTACAGTCAAGTTCCAAATTTTGGCGCTTGTGGGAAAAACAGTATTCTAATTTCTATCGGAGCGACCCCGGGCAGGTGCATTTCCGTGTAGTCCCAGCGAGACCGTGAAGACGCATGTTACACACCCGATACACCACCCCTTTGATCGACGGACGCGCCGCAGAAGAAAAGGTGCCAGCGTGAAGTGCAGACATAGTCGAGGTGTTTTCCGCTATCGATTCCGATGTGCGCAGTTCTCGAAGACATAGTGGCAGCTAACGCTTGGCTGGGGAGGCCGAGGACAGTAAGAATGGTGCCGTTGGCGGAGAACGCCTGATACTTATGTCGTGTCGATTTAATCGAGTCCGACTCGGTTAGCACCTGGAGGCTGGAGCGGAAGCGACGATCGTTTGTCGACGTCGCGGAGCCTAGGAGCCCAGTGACTGTTTTGTGAAGATCTGTGCCGCGTGCAGCCTCAAATGAGGTACCCGGGACACAGGTGGTGAGGGAGAGCCGCTCAATTGTGTGCTTGAGTAGGTTCTCAATATTTTTAAACGAAGCAGGAGGGAACGCTTCCTCACCGGCCGACCGGATTCCCGTCTGTCTTCAGCTGGTGTACCTATGTTTGAGGAAACTTGAGTCGTCAGATCCCCCGCCATATCGGAAAGCCAAGAGTGTTGGGATGAGCCCCAGGAACGAAAACCGCTTGAGTAGTAGTGCTTCAGCATATTTCGTATTCCCCACGATAACCAAACAGGAAGAAACGTTTGAGCACCGACCAGATCCCCCGCGGATCGCGGCTCAGTCTTGCTCTACAGCTGACAGACCCATATTTGAGACTTGGAGTGAATTTCTCCACGAGGGTCGCCAAAGCCCCCGCCATATCGGAAAGCCAAGAGTCTTGGGATGAGCCCCAGAGAACAAATGAGCTATGTGCAGACGCAACGCAATCAAGACAATTGAGAACGCGGGACCACAAGACGACAAGACAGACACGGGTGTCGGCCAGATCCAAATCGCCACAACGCCCAAGATTTGAGAGTGCGCAGCCTCCACGATGTTCAGACTGGCGCCGACAGAGTTTTCTCGACCAAGAGCTGAGTGGGGCATGCCATACATATTGGCCCTGAAAAGTACTTAAGAGGCCCGGGAAAGCGTGCACTGATCGCCAGCGACTCGGACTTGACTTCAACGCCTCCGTGTTGAAATTGCCGCTCTATCAACCAGCGGAAGTAGGTTAATTGAGAACTCTTCATCCTTGTCGGAAATTGGAGCC